GGCATTAATAAAAGGAAATTGAAAGCATTGAAAGAGAAAAGAAGAAAGTAGAAAAGATAAACAAAGGACACTGACATAAGTAAAATGAGAAAATCTGGCCAAACTAAAAATCATAGAAGATATTAGAAATACAAAGGCTTATTAGAAAAGCTTTGCCAGTTCAGATAGTTCTTATGGCTGTAATTTGCTCCTGCTTTATGGACAGTACTTATATTTATTAAACTACTCTAAACTATAGAAAAAATTTGTATGCTTTATTATATTAAAGTAACAAACCTTCATTCTAAAATCCAGTTAAAGAAATTCAAAAGGAAAGAAGAAAAAGAGAAAGTGGTAGTGAAGGTGCTAGGCACCATGAAATAAACCATGGAATTAAGAGGAACGGCATAAAAATAGACATACTGATATTTTGAAAACCTGACAAATTGTTAGGAGTGTCACCATTTTACATTCCCACCAATTCCAGTTATTGTCTTTATCTTTATGATTATTATACTCATCTGAATGAATGCAGAGTGATATCTTATTGTGGTTTTGATTTGCATGTTTTACTAATAACACGATTTTGAATATTTTTTTCATGTGCAAGTTGGACATTTTTGTTTCTTCTTTAGAGAAAAACCTTTTTCACATTTTTAATTGAATTTATTCTTTGTATTGTTAAGTTGTAAGAATTCTTTATACATTTTAAATATGAGTCCCAAATGATGAAGTTTAATTTATTAATTTTTTGTTGTTGCTTGTGCTTTTGGTATCATATCTAAAAAAATTGTTGCCTAACCCAAAGTCACATAGATATTTATGTCTCTGCTTTATTCAAAGAGTTTTGTCATTTTAGCTCTTACATTTAGGTCTATGAAGCATATTGAGTTAATTTTTCTCTATAGTATAACATAGGAGTTCAAATTCAGTCCTCTGCAAGTGGATATCCAGTTGTCCCTTCACAATTATGGAAAAGACTATTCTTTCCCCACTGAGTTGTCTCACTACCTTTGTCAAATGCTCTTGGCTGTAAATGTAAAGGTTTCTATCTGGGCTCTTGATTCTATTTTATTAATTGGTATATGTATACTTATGCCAGTACCACACTGTTTTAATTATGGAGCTTTATGGTAGGTTTTGAAATTGGAAGTGTGAATTCCCCATCTTAATTTTTCTTTTTCAAGATTGTTTGACTGTTCTGGGTGTCTTGTATTTCCCTATGAATTTTAGGGTTAGTTTGTCAATTTCTTCAAAAAAAGATAGCTGGGATTTTTTCATAGGGAGTATATTGAATGTTTAGAAAACCTGCAGTTTTAAAAATATGATGTTTTCTAATTCATGAACCTAGGAATTTTTTTATTTATTTAAATATTTCCTTACAGTGGTGTTTTTTAATTTTCAGTTTAGAAGTCTGAAATTTATTTTTTCTTTAGTGCTTTAGTGCTTTATTATTTTTTGATTCTATTATAAATGGAATTGTTTCAAAACTTTATATTTGGATTCTTAAATGATAGTATATAGAAATCCAATAGATTTTCTGTGTTGATATTATATCCTGCAATCTTACTATACTCATTTATTACCTCTAATAATTGTGTGTATGTGTGTGTGTGTGTGTGTGTGTGTGTGTGTGTGTGTGTGTGTGTTCCTTAGGATTTTCTATATACAAGATCACATTATTTGCAAATAGAGATAGTTTTATTTTTTCCTTTCCAATTCAGATGCTTTGATTTCTTTTTCTTGCCTAATTACTTTGACTAGAACCTCCAGTACAATGTTTAATAAAAGTGGTCAAAATGGAAATTCTCATTTCTGCTCTTAGTGGGAAAGCTTTCAGTCTTAAATAAATAAGTTTGATGTTAGCTTTGAGTTTTTCACAGATGCCTTTTATCAGAGTGAGAAAGTTCTATTTCTAATTTATTGAGTATTTTTTATTATAAAAGGTTGTTAGATTTTGTTAAATTCTTTTTCTGCATATACTGAGATGATCTTGTGGGTTTTGTCCCATATTATATTATGATATATTACATTGATTGATTTTTGTATATTAAACCACCTCGTGTTCCTGGGCTAAATCCCACTTGGTCATTATGTATATTCCTTTTCTTATGTTATTGGTTCAGTTTGCTGAATTTTTGCATGTATATTCACAAGGCATATTTATCTATAATTTTTCTTTCTGGTGATGTCTTCGTCTGGCTTTGGTATGAGTGTGATCCTGGTCTCACAGAATGAGTTGGGGAGTATAACCTCTTCTACTTTTCAAAATGTTTGTGAGGATTGGTGTTAATTTCTCATTAAATTTTTGGTGCAATTCACCATTAAAACTATGTGCTTCACTTCTGGACCACTCCTTTTCTTGTGAGAATTTATTGTAACTAATTCAATCTCTTTACTTATTATAGACCTATTGAAATTTTCCATTTCTCTTTGCAATAGTTTCAGTAGTTTATGTCTTCCTAGGAATTTGTCCATTTCATCTAGATTATCATTTGCTACCATATAAAATGTTCATAGTATTTCCTTCTAATGCTTTTATTTTCTATGAGGTTGAAAGCAATATTTCCTCTTTTATTCCTAGATTATCATTTGCTAGCATATAAATGTTCATAGTATTTCCTTCTAATACTTTATCTTCTATGAGGTTGAAAGCAATATTTCCTCAAAGAACAAACTTTTGATTTTGTTGATTTTCCTTTTTCTTTTTCTTTTTTCTATTTCATTAATCTCCACTCTAATCTTTACTATTTCCCTCCTGCTATATTTGGTTCAGTTTGTTCTTCTTTTTCTAGTTTATTAAGATAGAAGTTTTGTTATTGATTTGAGATTTTTCCTTTTTTCTTGATATAGGCAATTACAGCTATATATTTCACTTTTAGCACATCCCACAAATATTGATATGTTGAAGAACTATTCTTACAAGTCATAAATTGGTGATCTTTTCAGAAAGTACTTTATTATCAAATAATAAATATTCAAAGGGATCTGTGTTTAGACTGGTACTAATATTATCTCTCAATATATCTAACACTGTCACTCAAAAAATATGCAGATTTAAAATTGGTCAATATTTAACTGGCTGGTTAGCTCAGTTGATTATAGTGTAGTGCTAATAAAATTGGTCAATTCATTACCCAGATTAATATTCCATTCACATGAAACCTATAGTACTACAATATATACTGATACTACCCTCTGGTACAGAGAAGCAGATAAGGAAAAAGTTTGAGAAATATTTCCACTTCTAAATTCAGCTGCAATTTCTTTGATCTTTCATCCCATTTTGAAATTTTAAGATGAATTAAACAATGTTGATTACATATTCTGATGAGCAAAATAATATAATGTAGGTAGATCTCTTCTTATTTTATGTATGTACTTTTCTCACAAATCCTTCAACTTTACTGTCTACCTCAAATCAGTTGGGGAAATAGTATAGTATGTAGAGCATAAAACTTGTGATATGACTTGTTTTCCAAGAGGTATTATATTCAGCTTCTCAGAAGGAGATGACTCTTGAAAGGTCCAGTTATTTTTCAAAGTATCAGGAAAAACCCAAATCAGATATACTAAAAATCAAGCAATCAAAATTGCCAGGCCTGCTTTATTTCAAAGTATTTGTTTTTTCTTATTACTGAAAACTGGACCATCCTCTAAATCACAATTTTATTAGCTGCAAGTCAAGGTGGCAGTTTTATAATGCTGCGAAAATTACTTACAAAAATATTTCTAACAGCCACATGGATCATTGTCTTAACATTTAACTGGAAAAAAATGTGCAGAAAAATCCATCAATTCTTCATTCATTGATCTCACTGGATTTCTGAGAATTTTCTCCTGAGTATCCTATTTATGGCTTGGAAACATTTTTCTTTTCTACTGTGGCTTGATTTCTTTTGAGGTTTCACATTATTAATGGGCTTTGTCTTTTTCTTTAGCCTCCATAGCACTAATTTTTTACCATGATTTACCTATTTAGCTATTTGGATAGTAATAAAAAAGCCTCTGAATATTGGAATGTATCTTGCAAATTAGAGATATTTACCTCATGAAGCATTTGTAAGTCTTAGGCTTCTTTAACTTCCTAAACTTGAAAGCTACAGAGAATTTTGCTAGGATAAAATTACTCAACAAAAATAAGAAATATAATACTTTGAAATCACAGCTATTTCTAACTCTAAGTAAAATATGTTTTAAAGGATCTTAAATCTTTTTTCTGAATATTTAACACTCTTAACAAAATTAACTAAACTGAAAATTAGGTGGGTCAGCCTTTTCCTTCTTTGCCTACCTCTGTTGTTTTAAAATACAAATTATAAAAGTCTTTTCTATTACCTGAAATAGAACACTCAGATATTGTCCAGTGTTAACCTTAACTTTATAATTATGCCCTACCTATCATGTTCATGTGTTATATAGTATGTGTTGTTTTTTTTCCAACTCAACAATTCTCCATTGGTAGACCTGTTCCACTAAAAAGAAAATATCTACTATTCTGGGCGTATATCGAGGAGAACACAAATTAGAAAAATTATTTTTCCTCACAGTAGTTCCACAATTTTACCTGACTACTATTTTTACTTAAACTTGGAACCACAGGATTAAAGTCTAATGTTTATAGCTTTTTCATTTTAATTTGATCTCTGAACCGCCCCTAATCCCCTCTAATCATTCAGCTGTGGCAATTTTATCAGTTGCGTCAGTGTCTGCTCCAGCACTCAGGCTTTTACGTGTACAGCTGTGTTGTTCCGTGAGCGTGGCACATGTTGTCATGTTATCAAGCCTGTTTTCTCAGTGGGCTTTCTTTTAGCCTTAGAGTCACTAACTTGAAGTACTTCTGGTAAAATGCTGGTTTTGTCCAAACAATATACTATAAATCCTACTCTAATCATTATCATTCTTCTTTGTCAGAGAGAAAGTTTTAAATATGAACAAAACAAGCCTCCATCTGCCTTTGTCTTTCAACCTTACAACAAAAACAAAGCATAAACATGGTTCCATAATATTAAGTAGTTTTTACTGTAAAGATATGTTTTTTAAATATACTAAACCAAGACCTATCAAATAACTAAGAGCATATTGGATATTTTTCAATCAAAAATAGCGCAAAAGCTCTTCTAGAAGATTATTCATCAAGCCAAAAGGATCAAAGTATTTGAGATTCAAATTAGGAAATAAAAGTCAAAAATCAAATTATCAGCAGAAAAACTATGGAAACATTTAAGCTTCATGTTTCAATAAAGACCCTGAGATTTTTCAAAATACCAATAGCAAGTGCTGTTAAACATCAGTTTATAAGTTCAAAGAAATACATTTCACATGTTATCAAAGATTACTATTTCATTTTTCAGAACTCATAAGTGAACTGCACACTTGCCACTGCAAAGAAATTGTAGAATGATTCTGAGGGAAGAGGCAGGAGGCTCTCGAAATGAACCAGTGAGGATTTCTCTGATTGCTAGTCTCTCATTCTTCTGATGAGATTCAAAGTGTCAAAGCTGCCCTGACTGATACTCAGGTGTCATTTTCAAATGCCATTACGACTCACTGCATCTGATATCTTTCCTGGTAGTGGAATTCTGAGGACCTAGCCCAGTGAACAGGAAGAAGACAAGAGGTGAGACTACAATGCGGAGTGCCTCAGGGACACACACTTGGCAGGAAGCACGAAATCCAGGAGCTTTAAAGAAAATTTAAAGCCATTTTGGAGTGTTACACAGATTCAATGCATTTCTGAGAGGCTCCTGGTCACATGATGGAAAATTAAACATTGTCAAGATGATAATCACAATAATTCAAGTCTGTAAAACATCTTTGAATGCAACCACTAATAAGACAACAATGAAATAAAATACTTGGAGCATTTTCTAGAAATCAACTGTCTCCAAAAGGAGAAATATATTCATATAACACTAAATGATCAATAATAACTATGCAGTAGTTCTCTCAATCTGCCCCAACTCTTCTAAATTAATGCAAGAAGAACATTTCAAAATCAAAATGATTTTTAATGATTGAGCAGCTAACCAAGCTTTAACAAAAGTCACTGTCATTTAAATGACAAGATCCAGAGGCCCTTCAGAACCAATTAGGTGCTATCAACCCTTGATCCTCCCTAATGAAGCATTTGTAAGTCTTAGGCTTATTTAACTTCCTGAACTTGAAAACTACAGAGACCCGTCAAAGAGTTCATTTTAATTGGAAAAATACTTTATAGTTTGCCTTTAAAATGTTAAAAAAAAAAGTCCCTGGCATTAAATTTTCAGTGCTCAATGTAAGTTAACAGAGAACTTTATGAAAGAATCTAAAATAATTCTCTCAACTCACAGAAGACAAGAATAGCTTATGAATAAGCCTGGGAATATTTTAATAATTTATCCTTCTATTTCATATCTATTTAATTATTTAACTCCAAAAAATCCAAATCCATTTCTAGACCACACTCATTGAATACATGTTCTTTATCCTATTTTTTACAAAGTAATTTTTTAAATGATCATAACATGCTTGGAAAGATGTCACTTGTAATGCATCCTGTGCTAGAATAATACTGACCATCTGGATATGAATCAAAGCTTAGGCTACTGCTGCTCTTATTCATCATGACCAATCAGCTTGGTAGTATGCTCATTTTCCTCCTGAAAATAAGCAATATGAAATCAGAGAACAGTTATAGCTCCAGGGAGAAAGGTGTTACCAGCCCAGAACAAATCCCCTATGAAAATAGTGAAAGTGAAATAAGTCTAGTGAAAGGAAAGGCTGGGAGAAAGGCTTTTTATTGCTCACAGCTTGCTCAAATAGGCTAACTAAGCTCCGCCCCATCTATCTCCTCCAGCTGCCACTCATGCTGTAACCCCACTCACGTTCTCTCCTTCCCACCCATTCTGGGAAGAACTCCATTGGCAGGTCCTTGGTGACTGGCAGATGCCAGACCAATTATGTATCAGGAAGGGAGGGGAGGAGACAATGGCTGTTACCTTTCCATCTCTTCCCTGAGAGTCTGTGGGAGGCTGCAGCAGTAAACACCTATTGATATGAAATGGTAAGGTCAGGTGGGAGATTCTGGATATTATGCAAAATACCCAACCATCTTCTCCAGAATTCTCATCTCAGAATCTACTCACCCCCAACCCCATTTTCCTCAATGGCTCTTGTGTGAGAAAGTGAGAGTATTATAACCAGACTACTAACACAATAACAACAGAAATACAGGTAGCAATAAAACCATGACAATCCTGAAGTTTGAAACCTGAGTAGGGTGGTTTTTCAAAGCCCTACCCAGATTAAGTCCATACCTCACCCATTCCACAGAAGACCAGCAGCTGAACCACCAGGGAGCTGCAGGCACACTCAGCAAGCAGCAGCGGCAGCTAGGAGGCAGGCCCAATCTGTAAGGACAGAAGAAAAGAACCCTAAAGGCATTAATCCTGGGCTACAAGTCCATGACCAATGGTTAAACTGTGGAGGCAACCTTATCAAAGGACAGTGAACATCCTCTGCTGGCCTTCCCACATGAAGGCAAACTGTTTCTGACTTTTCTGTGCTATGTCAATAAAGAGGAAAGCATTAACAAGGTCCACAACATAATGATATATTCCTAGTAAATGACTGAGGGTGTCTATAATGGCTGCTATAGAGGAGACAGCAACATGCAAGAGGGTGTGATTTTATTCAATTCCCTGTAGTCAATGGTCATACGCCAAGAGCCATATAGCTTTTTCACTGACCACACTGGGGAATTAAAAGGACTATGAGTGGGCTTTATGATGCCCACCTTCTCCAACTCCTGTAGAGTTTCTCCAATTTCCTTGTGGCCCCCAGGCAATTTATACTGCTTAGTATTTGTCACTCACCAAGATACAGGCAGAGCTACAGGTGGGTGCTTAGCATGTCCACTCAGGGGGAGGAGTCCACTCTCTAGGCGGTACTTTACACCAGACCAAATCCCCACTGGGGAATCCCAAAGTGAACTCCTATGACCCACAAGTGGATCCCAAGGTGAAGCTCCACCATCCACAGGGGTGTTCCTGGGTGAATCCCCACCACCCACAGTGGGGTCCATGGGTATTTCCCCACCATCTCTAGGGGCAGCCCACCCAAACATCACACCTATGAAGACAGATTTCAGGTTCACCAGATCCCACCAACTCACAACAGATGTAGCTCTTGGGGGAAGGGTGTTCCTGGCCTGGGGAGAATAGCCAATGAAACAAGTGAATCTGAAATTAGTCAAGGGAAAAGACAGGTTGGGCTAGACCATTATTATTGCTCACAGCTCACTGGAATTAGCCAGCTAGGCCTGGCCCCACCCATCTCCTCCTGCCACTGCTCCCACCCTCTCCTTCCTCCCTGGTACCTACTACTCTATAGCCAAACCCACTTGGTGCTCCGTGTCTCTGCAGCCATGGCACAATCTCCCTTCCCCATCCCTGGTACCCTCTCCCCCACCCTTTTCAAGAGGAACCCCCCCCCAAGGGAAGGCATCTCCAGTAACTGGCAGGTGCCAGACCAATTACTTACCTGGAATGGGGGGAAGGAGAGATGGCCATCCTCTCTCCACCCCTAGGCCCAGAGGCTGTGGGAGGCTGCCACGTTACACACCTATTGATATGTCAATGGACTAAGGCCAGGCTGGAGATCCTGGAAATTCTGTGATTTACCCCACAAACAGAAAGAACAAATGCTTTTTCAATACATTTTCTAAATTACATTCAATCAGTTATTGCATGTGAAAATATCTAAATAAGGGCATAAATTTGTAGATTTAGTCTATATATTGGGATCAAATTGTGGAAGATATTTTGAAAACATTCAATTGCAGAAAATTACTGATCATTTGGATTTCTGTGATTATTCTGTTATTCAATTACCAGGAAATTTTCTATTAATATATGATGTTAAAGTATTCAGAATTACTCTTTCCAACTTTCATTCACATAACTTCTCTCTTAAACTAAGAAATCCCATGCTGCAATATCCAACATAACATAACATGATATCTCATATGATAATTTCACATAGGTCACAAACAGCAGGATATTAGCCTTTGAGAAATAAAGATTCATCCTTCTCAGGAAAACAAAATTCTTGTTTTAATGAAAACAAAAGTGATCCTTAAACACAAAGAATTTATTTAAAAACCATTGTGTATTATCAGCAGAATTATCCCTACATGTCTGTTATTTAACACCAGCATGCTTTTTTTTTAGCGGTTACCACCCCTTTCTGTTAGAATTCTTATTTTTGGATGACTGATCAATTGTTTCATGTTATTTTTCCCCAGCAAGCTATAGATTCACCCCAGCTGCAAAAATTTTCTGAAGTCTGAGCAAAGGCTCCATAGGAGGAATCAGGGTATGATCTTTCAAACACAAACAGTATAACTCCGTAGGAGTCTACTCAGGAATTTGAGAAAGGAACTTCGTGAAAGAGGTAAGTTTGTAGCACTTATGGCTGCTTGCAAAGCAGAGCCAAAAATGTGATTAAAATCCACATATAAAAAAACCTTAACTCTTCTATAGGACTTCTGATATACTAACTTTATTTAATTTACAAAAATTTCTCATAGACTAAATGCATATTATCAGCTATTCTACAAAGAAATTAAGTCAAAACAAGTTGTTCAGGGGGCACCCTATGTTCTTGTCAAGTTGGAGATACAGTTTTGAGTCTTCTAACCAAAAGTCAGTAATACTGAGTAATAGACAAATACTAATAACACTCAGATCTCCCCCAACAGATTAATTCCCTGTCATCTTTCCAAAAGGCATTGGAGTTGAATGTGCAGGAATTTGAACAGTAGAAAATGTAAGGAACAATTTGACATATGTTTGCATAAGTATCCCCTCAGAGAAGTCTGATGAAAATAAAACCAAGTTTACTTCCTTTGCCCTTGGACTTAGCCTTGCTCCCTCAACCATCAGAAGATTTGAGTTGAAGTGAATCATATGTCTTGAACATGACTCAAAGGTGCTCTACACCATGATGATACCAGCATCAGGTCTCCATTGTTCTCCATTTATAACAATCATGCTACAAAGTAGGTAACTAATCATACTCCTCACAAGTGTCTCTTTCATTTTCCCTTAGCCAAAGGCCCCTCATTTAGTCCATTAATCATACCACAAAAGCATATCCTGTGTTACAAATTGAAACTTCATATGCAAATGAGTTTACATGGCATAAGTGGCAGAAACTTTTAATTATCTCCGTTTCCTTTCTTTCTTCCTTTTAGAAAGACTCTTCTCAAGATCTTGTCACTCAGCTTTTCCCAACATTCCTTGCAGCTGTGTGTGACCCTGCAATTGGTTTCTCATGAATGGTGTCTGGGCAGGAATAATGTGCAACTACTGCCTTCTCTCTATAAGACTACAAAGCAAATGGTGATCAGCCAGTGTCCAATAGACAATCTAACAACTTCAGGAAATTGCAGAGCAAGAATACAGAAAGAACCTCTGTGCCTGAGTGTTACAAAGTCTCCCTCTGGTTAGTTACATTAAATAGCTATTTTGTTTGAGCCACTGTTATTTGGGATTTATTTGTCACAGTCTCTTGCCTATAACTCCAAAGTATATACAGTTATCCAAATTAGAACCCCTTTCACCTCATTCACCTCATTCCTACTTTATGTATGGTGAAACACTGCTGGTGACCGTCTGCCCAGGTATATAGCAAAAGACCATTATAGGGTTAGCATTTTTCCTTCTTTTGGAGAGCAAAAGTGATTTTGTGGTATATACTTGAGCCATTGGGTTTAAATAACCTTGGCTGCTACCTTGCTCCAGGACATTTGTTTTTAATCATTTCATAGTATCAACATTATTTGAAATTTTTCTTTACTGTATTTTTGCTTGAATCTTATTTCTGCCTTCTCAATTATCATTAGAGAACATTTATTTTTGTGTCTGCTTGTTACCCATTCTTTTCATGTATCTGACTGAGGGAATTTTGGCAATAGTATTATTTCACTGTAATCACCATATTTCCCAGCATTTGCTAGACCCTTCCAAGCTCTCCCATTGGTCTAAAAACAGATATACAGACCCTACAGTAGCTCTGTGGCTGCATGTGTCAGCCCAAGTTACTGCAACCCCAGCACACATATCTTTCTATCACTGATGTAAGCTTTGTTGATAATGTTCTGCAAGTTGGATTTATTGCAAAGAGATCACTCTTCTTTTGGTCTTTAATCCTTTCTTTAAAAAAAAAAGTCAAAGGTTAAAGTCTCAGTGAAATGATGTGCAATTGCATAGAAAAAGTCTTACTTACTATCTGTGATTTCCAATCTTCCTTATGGCTACAGAAAAAAAAAATGCCTTTTCTTTCATCTTTGGTCTCACAAAACATTATTTTCAAAGGGAAAAGTACCTTAAGGTCTATCCTTTCCAGAAGTTTTTTAACTGTGTTCCCCACACACACACTTTACAGCTCCAGAGAAGTAGCTTAAGAGTATGCCTGACATGGGGAGGGGCAAGAGGCTAAGCAGATGGGACCACAATCTTCCCACCGTGCCTTCAAATGAAGCTGCTTTCCTTTCAACTCTTAATATGTTAGGGTTCAGTTTGAGATTTCATTTTTAAAATGAGTCTTCTAATTTAAAAAGCAGTGATCTAGTTCAAACCAGATGAGGGTATTAAGGGCTCAAAAGAGCATGACAGAGCTAATTGGTGGTAAAGCTAAGATGCAATTCTAGTCTTTTGACATCTGGTCCATAATTTTTATATCTAAGCTACAGCAATAATATAAGATGTGACCACCCTACCACATACAGTTAAAATGACATAGCTATATGGATGTGACTGTAGGAAATTCAACATCAACTTAGAATTTCTCTTTAATTTCCATTTGATTTATAGTTAAGAATAGTCTAAATATTTTAATTTCTATATCCAGCAATTAAGATGTTAGTATTTTTCCACTTAAGAAAAAGCAACTTTTTTAATTAAAAAGGAAACTATGCCTGCTTTAAAAAATGAAAATAAAAATAATTTACCAAAAGGAAAGTATGATGTGGCAGAATGCACAGGAATCTAAGTTAGGAAATAGGATTTCAAATTATTTATCTGCCACTAGAGAAATAGCTGTGTTCCTTTTCTTTATCAGTCATGTCATCCTGACAGGCTTCAAGTTTCTTAGTTTTTAACGTGGTTAGACTGTGTGACTTATATAAGCTTTCTTCTAGATTTAAATCTAGGTTTCTCTCTTCTAGGTGAATTCTGTTTATCTGTGTTCATTTTATTCACGTGAATATGTTTATAATTTATGTGTGCATGCATAAGCATATGCCTAAAATCAAAGGAATTTTCAAGCTTTTCACTTTATGCTTCTCTTCATGATTTTTCCCACTTTTAAAAATAAACTGCATTTATATAAATGTATTAAATAAATGCTACTATATAAATGTATTAAATAAATTCACCCTTTTAAGTGTACAATTACAGTCCTGTGAGTTTATGAACATATACAGTTACAGAAATACTACCAAAATCAAGATATATAATAGTTGTATGCCAAAAAATTCACACCAGTCAAAAATTATTGCTGTTCAGTCACCCTCACACCATTCCTATCTCCAGCAACTATTGCTGTTTTCCATCGTAGTCTCACCTTTGTTTCTTCAAGTATTTTTAAAAACTTACTTTCTTAGTTTGCTCTATAGCTCTGAAAGGTAAATAGTATATTTTGCCTGCTCTGATAATTGCCTTATATCTTATTTAATCTAACAACATCTCTATGATACAGCCACCAATGTACTCATTTTATATGTGAGGAAACTGAGACTCATAATGAGATGTAACTTTCCTTGTTACGCAGCTAGGAAACAATGGAGGCCAACTCCCTAATAGGCCTGATTCAGCCTACCTCCAGACTTCTTTTATGTGAGAGAAAAATAACCTTTAACTGTTTGAGCCTCTGCAATTTTGAGTTTTCTGTTATATGAAACCAAATCTAACTTCATTTCCTTTGGATCCTCCTTTGTGAAGCATCCTCTTCTCTGGACACGTGCTACTTCTCTCTATAGAGGTCTTTACCAGACCCAGGAAGACATCATAGTTTAATTCATGGTGTTACATCTTTATAGCCCTGAATTGTGGCCATGGGTTAAGCTGCATGCTCAAATTCACAGCTTTTAAATCTTCATCTATCAGAATCTATGTCTATGTTTCCACTAGTTCCAAACCAGAAGAGGGCAGGGATGATATGTATTGGAGCTCCTAAACCGCAACATTTATTTTCATTTCTAATTAGCCAGATGATTGCCCATTCTCCAGTTCAATTTGTGTTACATCAATATTTTTATTAAATGCCTGGTCTGGATTTTAGCATACACATTAAATGTATGTTTTCTGCCACACTCACATTCACAGAAGTGGGTTTGCCTTAGCAAAGGCAATCTGATTCTCAAGTAGGACAAATCTACTTCACACTCACAGATGCAAGATCCATAGGCCAAGATTCCCTCCATTTTAATCTTCTCAGAGTATCATGTCTCACGGAACACAGCTTCCTGAACCAGCTTCCTTAAGCTTAAGGCTACTGACAAGAAAAATAATGTCTATTAGATGAAAGAAAGCTAGCATGGCCTATAAATAAAAAAAGATACTTATGTGGGATAAAAATAAAGTCTGTATTTTGAAACATTGCACCTCCACATGTGCATTTATATTAATCTGTTGAAAGTTCATATTTACTTCACATTGCAATCTGCATATTTTTATACAAGATACAAGAAGAATATTATTAGAACATCAGACTATTACATAAACAGTACAAAAGCCAGTTACTTGAGTGAAAGGGTTAAAAATAAATAAGGGAATTTGTTGTTTTTTAGTGTTGTGAGCACCAAGTTAAGGAAGAGAACATAATGTTATCTGCTATTATTAGATTATGACATAAGCAATCTTGTGGAATAGAAAGGAAGTCATATCATGTACATCTCTAAGGGAAGAAATTTTTCTTTACTCTCAGTATAAGAAGAATTGTGCTTTTTCTGACCAGTGGCTTTGTTTTTAGCTTATGAACTTTCTAACAGTTGGACCTGATTATGTTTTCCTTTTTTTAATTTGTGACTGCTAAAATTTAGGGATTTATTTTATTTATGTACCCTTTCCAGGAAGCAAATATAAATTCATGACTTATGTTTTATGTTCTAACATCATTTCCAGAGGCCATCTTTTCTTCCTAGTCTTATTTCCTTTTTGCTTAATTTAAATCATTCATCTTTTCAAATGTAGATATTCCTGTACTATTTCTTAAATCACTTCTGGAACAACACAGATTCTACATTAATTGACTAGTCAGTTATGCTATCATTGGTATTTTTAGTTACCCACTTAAGACACCTAAAGTAATACAGGAATTAAAATAGACTATGAATGATAATTATATCATCTTAACTCAAGAGTTGTTTGTAGAGTCCTTGGCTATCAGTACTATAAATTCTATTTAACTCATAGGAAAATAAAAGCATGAGAAATCAAATAAATTTAATGGTTCAAAAATCAGAAACCTGATATTAAAGCACTATACTGACTCCAAATTCAGATTAACATGTCAGTCGTTCATCAACAGAATGAAATTTAATCAATTTTATTATTTTAAAAGTGTTGATATATTTAAATATAACCATACCAATGTGTTTGGGTTGGTTCAATTTATTTTTAATAACTTTTTTTTCAGCCTCATTGGGAAACAATTGGCATACATTACTACTAAGTTTAAGGCATACAGTTTGATGGTTTGTTACATATATTGTGAAATGATTGCCACATTGTTTTAGCTAACATCCATCTTCTCATTTAGAAACAAGTAAAATAAGAGAAAGAAAAAAAGGAAAAAAGTTTTCCTTCTGATGAGAACTCTTAGGATTTACTCTCTTACCTTTCCCGTATATTATACATCAGCAGCATTAGCTATAGTCATCAAGCATATCTAGTACTTATTTATCTTATAACTGGAGGTTTGTGCCTTTGATCACCTTCCCCCAATTTCCTGCCCCTTTATCTCTGCCTCTGGTAACCACAAGTCAGATTATCTTTTTCTATGGCATTTCTATGAGCTTTGGGCTCTTTAGGTTCCACATATAAATGAGATCATATAATATTTGTCTTTCTCTGTGTGACTTATTTCACTTAGCATAATGCCTTCAAGGCCCATCCACATTATTGCAAGTGGGAGGATTTCCTCATTTTTTATGACTGAATAATATTCCATCATGTATATATCCACGTGTATATATTCTTACTTTTTGATCCATTCTTCCATCAATGGACACTTAGGTATTTCCATGTCTTGGCATTGCAAATCATGCAGCTATGATCATGGGGGTTCAGAAAATACCATTTTGAGTTAGTGTTTTTGTTTCCTTTTGATATATTCCCAGAAGTGGAATTACCACATTATATGGTAGTTCTATTTTTAATTTTTGGGGATCCTCCATCTGTTTTCCATAGTGGCTGTATCAGTTTACAATTCCACCAAAGTACGCAAGGGTTCCCTTTTCTCCACACCCAAGCCAGCACTTTTTATGTCTTCTCTTTTTGATGATAGCTAGTTTATCAGGTGTGAGGTAATATCTCACTGTGGTTTTTATTTGCATTTCCCTGATGACTAGTGATGTTGAGTACCTTTACATGTACCTTTTGGCCTTTAATATATACTCTTTGGAGAAATGTCTATTCATGGTTCTTGGCCTGTTTTTAAATTGGGTTGTTTGTCTTTTTTGCTATTGAGTTATATGAGTTTTATATACTTTAGACATTAACCCCTTTTCAGATATGTGGTTTACAAATATTTTTTTTCCATTCTGTAGGCTATTTCTTTGCTTTGTTAATGGTTTCTTTTTCTGAAACAATCTTTTTAGTTTGATGTTGTTTGTGCTGTATGTATCATATGCAAAAATTCATTACCAAGACCATGTCAAGTATTTTTATTCTTATGCTTTCTTCTAGAAGTTTTCATGGTTTCAGAACTTCCATTTGTCTTTAATCCATTTTGAGTTAATTTCTATGGGAGGTATAAGATACGGTCAAATTTCATTCTTACGTGTGAATATACAATTATCCCAGAACCATTTATCGAAGAGACCGTCTTTTCTACATTAATTATTCTTGGCTCTAGTTCAATTTATGTTACAAATGAACTCAAATTAAGAGAAAAATACATCTACTATAATATTTGTGTGGATGTATGAACCACTCTAACAATATTTTACATAAATAAACAGCCCGCCAAACCCGAGCTCAGTGACCCCGTCGGGGCAGAACAGGAACCAGAGCTGCCGAAGGGCCCTGTGACAGTAGCCAGAGGGTCAGCAATCGCGAAGCCAGGTGTCGGGCAGGCCCCGGAGGGAGCAGGGCAGCAGGCAGGCTGGCGGGTGGCCCCAGAGGGGCATGGGGCAATGCCGGCTGGCTGGCAGGAGACGGCGGACCCTTCTGCAAGTGGAAGCCTTTCCTCAGGAGTAAAGGTAAAGCAAAAAGGGGAAAAGAAGCACAGAAGAATGTCATTCAATAAAGAAAGGAAGAGTCATAGAGTTCCTGAAGAAGAATGAACTTCATGAGCTTGAAAAACAAAGCATCTGTTTCTGCAGAAACTAAAAAAAGAAAAATGCAAATTTATCAACAAGATGCTGCCATAGAAAATATCAAGCTTCAGTGTGGAAACCTGGAAACTCAAATCAAATCTTTACATACAGAAAATGTAAAGCTTAAATTTGACATAGAAGCAGCCCAAGAAGACTTAGAGGAACACATGCTAAGATATAATGAATATTATGCAAAAATGAAAGTACATAAAGATAGTTTGGGGGAGATAGAAAGCAAATGGTCATTCATGACTGAACTCCATGAAAAACAAGATCTTGTTAAAAAACTAATGACAATGAAAGAGGAACTTACACAAGATTCCCAAAATACAGAAGGAAACCAGATAAAACAAGTACAGGAAGACATTACAAAGCTAAAGGATCAAATTATAACTGTAAAAGAATCTATCATTGAAAGAACTTGTTTTCTTGAAGAAGAAAAAAATACCCATGAAAAATTAAGAAAAGAAATAGAGATCAAGATTTATTATAAAACTAAAAATAGTAGGACAAAACATACAACATAAGAGATATGGTGCAATTCTTAAGCATTTGCACTGTCAGGTGAACAAACTTCAGTCAAACAGAAGACAATAGCAATGGAACATTGAAAAACTGGAAAAAACTGCAGCTGAACTAAGAAAATGCATTGGAATGAAAGATTAATATGGCCATAAAGCAATATAGAGCACAGACTGCCTGCAAAATTATGGGACATAAGGATTAGCAAATCCTTTGGATTCTGAAGAACCAGCATTCACTGTCAGTGGTCTGTCTTAATGAAAGATACATTTTCTTCTTTTTTTAATCAGTCATCTGTTTCAAAGTGCCTTCCAACCTTACAACTGATAGCAATAGATAGACAATAGTTATGTTTACAGAAGAATCATGGAAGACTCTGTGAATATTTTGTGTGTAAGATATACTGTACTCATGAATGCCTGCTTATAAACATAAGGCATTCACTATCATATGAAGTAAAAATTTAGAAGAAGGAAAACACTTGAATTTACAATGATTTTAAAATTAAGATATTTTAAGTAGTTGTCTGTTCCAAACTTTTTGTTACAACTTACTTTTTTACTACTGCCTTCATAATAGTCATAAATATTGGCATTTACAATAATATTGTTATATGTTCAATGCTTCAGATATTTTACTCAGTTATCTCCTTTATGTATAAGGTAGCAATCATTTTTTATTAGGTAACATTTTTAAAGTACATAAAAACTTTTATTCATTTTTCTATCTGTAAATCTCTTTATTAATATTCTGTAACTAAGCTTAAAGTATAACATTGTGTAAGGCAAATATTCCATCTCTTAAAAGAATACTAATCAATATAGGGTATAAATAAATAAATAAATAAATAATGCTTAATGCTGATACAGTTTTCACTGATAGTGCATAAGGAAAGAGAAAAGAAAACATTTCTTCTTTTTAGAATCATTTACCTTTGTTAGGCCCCTAGGCAATTTTGCTCTAAAGCTTTCTGTCTTATAAAAATATGTTCAATATCATTAGACTGAATCAGTTTACCTGAGGAAGTTCCAATTTATACCTCTTCTATCTCAATTACATGTTAGTTGTTTTAAGTGCCTCCTATCACTTTCAAAAGTGTCCTGATTTGAATGATGAATTATACGGTCACCCTAAATATGATGGATTTCAGTAGTTCCCAAGACTGGTGGAGAGCATAAGGCCATTACTCCAAAAATGATCATGATTCTGTCTCCAGGAGACATATCAGTGATGCAAAATGAAAGAGGATCACTCTCTGACTACTATGGCTAAACGTTTTCATAAATTGTTCATTCAATTATCTAGGCTTACAGCCTATTTAGGGATTTCTGTAGAAAGTATATGAAAGTAATTCCAGTAAGAGCTAGCACGTATTAACTCTCTACTTCTAAGTGTGCCAGAACACTTTAATGCTAAACACTTTAATTATCTCATTTACACAGTATTATAGATATTATTACTACTACCACCTCCATTTTACAGATGGGAAAATTGAAGCTTACAGAGGATAAGCAATCTCCCCAAGGTTACACATCTACTAAGTGGCAGGGCCAGAATTCAAACCTAAAATTGGCACTTGGGCTAGAGGTCTCTCCAACTAGCTAGCTATACTCATGCCATGAATGCTTAAGTTCTCCTCATGAATGGTATCGTAACATCCAGGAAAGCCCTGCTTCCCTGTCCCCAGCACTCCCTCATAACACCTATCATTAACCCCAAAAATTCTATCCTGTGAGGGCCATTTCCTCTGGCTCATGTGTGGTAGACATTCTGGGGTTGCCATACGTTGGTTTTTCTTCTCTTTACCTATTAGAAAAATTTCCAATTTAATTTACAGATTCAGGTGGTTCTGATAAAACTGTCTTTACCTACTGGCCCAAGAATGGAGCCTATGATCTAAAATCAGCTATGTTCATTCTTTCCTCTGGCCATAATGATTGACCCAGATAGGCAAGTGGCAAGACTTGAAAACATCAATATTTGCAGACATAGATTCATTTTACTGCTGGGCATAAAGAAGAACAAGTATATAGTAATGGGGGCTACCTAGGAGATTCTGCCCTTGAATAATTTAAGTAGACTCTGTCTGGTTTCTCCAAGTTAATCCAGCATTAGTGGATTCTTCATGCCCAGAAAGACCTCTCTGATAAATCTGTAGGTTTTGCCAGACTCTATCATTAAATGGAAGCAATAATAATATTGATCTAACAATATTAAAACAATAATGTTCAATGACTTTTGACAATGTTTTGATAAAGGTATCATTATTATAATTATTATACAGATGAGGAGATCAAGGCTTAGAGAGGTTAAGTGACTTTTCCAAGGCCAAACATTTACTAAGAGGATTAAGTTGCTATCCCAGATTTGCTGGATTCCAAAGACAATGCCCTTATCTAGCTATGCTACAATAACACCTCCGGCTTAGTCCAACCCATGTTTTGTTAGAGCTCCACCCTCTGAGTGCTGGACTGCTGCTCTCTCACTGTCCAGTTCAGCACCTCCCTTCCCTCCATTATGAGATCATGCCAACTCCAGTTTCTAATATTTCTATTCTTCTCTGCCAAACAAAAATTAACTTTTTTTTCTCACTACCTACCTTGAGATTTGTAACAACAGGTGATAATAGGTAAATAGATAAATTAATCATTGAGGATAGGTTGATATTTAACATGCATCTTCTTGGGGAAAATACTATTCTAACCATTTGAAACAGATGTCACAAGTTGGTAATCAAGGGGCATTATAATACTATAAACATGTCAGTGGGGTCGGAGACAGGGAGTCCACAGTAGGGTAATATTCTTGGTCAACTGCATGCTGACATCTACAAAAACTACTGCATCAGCCTCTCAATCCACTTTTATGTAAGTCAGATCTGGCTACTGTCCTTCCATCATTAACTATATGTAAGAGAACTGCTTGAGTAGAATAACAGAGACAAAATCTTCAGTGTATTCCCCCAAAAGGGATAAAAAGAGCTATATGTTTGCATCAACCTAAACAAATTCCTCACCTGTCTGCCCTCACTTCATTAACCCACATACCTGCAGAAGACAAACAGCTGTACAATACTTTACAGGTTTGCTGACTTTGTGAGAAAGTAAGCAGGACTAAGTGAAGAAAGTCTTTAAACATTTGGAACGAATGGTCAATAAAATCTCAAGTTCTACCATATCAAATAATGTTGCAAATCATTTTTAGATTTCACCTGCTTTGCAAAAATTTTATTCAGACCATAATATTTTTAATGTCTTGTCTTTTTATCTCAAAAAACATTTTTATCCCTCAGAGGCAACCTCTCCGCTCTGTCACTCCTTCCAAATTACTAAGCCAAGAGACCATACCTTATAGCTCTAAGAACACAGATTCCCAGACAAGTGGAAGAAAGGCAAATTTTATTTCATTTATTTTAGTGCCATGGTAAAGTCACTTTTGGCCTACAGCCTGATTTTTCACTGGCTTTTTAATGAGATTTTCAGCTCTGCTTATTTCTGCTAGAGCTTATTTTCATGAGAATGCCATTCTTCATATCTTTTTGTCTGCAAGCCACTTCTGCAGAGCCTGGAGAAGCCCTTCTGCACTACCTAGAAGGGAGGTTGTTGAATCGCTCCAAAAGAGTAGTCAGGGGCCATCAATCGGAAGGCTGATGTCCAAATCAGATTTTTGGCAAAGAGTGGCAGAAAATCTGATTGTACATCTCAAAACCGGCATGTTATGCTATTCAGAAACTGTTCAATTTTTCTGTATAATTTGACACTTTTCTCAGTCAAGACATCTTCCAAAAACCCACCGTGAAGGGCATGTCCTCTCACACAGTCTAATGGATGGGGCTTGTGATATAGCTGGGTTCTCACTACATAGGACTTTTTTCATTTCTGCATTATCAGGGTGGTTGGTCCAGAAGTTAGCATCTCTCAAAAGTTAGTAAAATTTATAGTCTTTAGACAGGTACCAAATAAATAATTAAACAGCTTGTGATACCATTTATCGAATTCTTTGCCTACCTGCCCTAAGGTGTTCAGATACCTTTTACCTAAGAAATATCTTCCTCCTTTAATAACCAGTAGTGCCTTCAGTTCTTACTTAGGCTTGTTCCCTGACCATAGCCAAAGAGAGATGTTTTTAGGGTAAATGACATTTAAACTATCATCAAATCTTGTCAGTTCTGCCTCCTGTTTCTCTTATCTTTTTATTTCCAATCACCACCATCTTGTCAAAGCTAAAGGCTCTCTCACAGGTATTTCTACAGTATCATCATAACTGATACCTTTCCTCCCAATCATTCCATATTCCATCCACTTTTCAATCTGCAAATGGATATTTTAACTGTGTCGTCTTTCCTTCCCATTAAGACATTTGCTTAACCTTCCATTTTCCTTAGGATAAGATTGAATAAAATCTTAACATGGACTATAAAGCATAAGAGGACCACGGCTGCCTACTTCTTGACAATCATTTTTTTCTGTTTTCCCAACTCTGCTCCTCATACTCTCACCATGGTCTCTATTGCTTCCAGAACGTTGAAATGCTGATCTCTGCCAATGCTCCATTGTCCCCCACTCCACCTCCCAACATCCCTACCACATTGGCTCATCCTTCTAAGTGTTACATCACTCCAACATTTTATTGGCTCAATTCTACGCCTACAGCACTCTCAGCTTTAACTCTGCTCCCCAGGGGAGTCTTTCCATGACCTCCGGTTTCTGTGTCATAGCCCTGTGATACTCTGCACCCTGTTCTTCACCTTTCTTGATGCTCTAATGGTTGAAATGGTTTGTTGCATCTGTATTTCCCACTAGGTGGTAATTTCTGTGACATCAGGAACTTTGCACCATGCTTGACAACATGTATATCCATTGCTATCATCCTTCTAAGTGTTACATCACTCCAACATTTTATTGGCTCAATTCTACGCCTACAGCACTCTCAGCTTTAACTCTGCTCCCCAGGGGAGTCTTTCCATGACCTCCGGTTTCTGTGTCATAGCCCTGTGATACTCTGCACCCTGTTCTTCACCTTTCTTGATGCTCTAATGGTTGAAATGGTTTGTTGCATCTGTATTTCCCACTAGGTGGTAATTTCTGTGACATCAGGAACTTTGCACCATGCTTGACAACATGTATATCCATTGCTGAGCACACAAAAGAGCCCAATAAATATTTGTTGAATAGATTAATGAAAGTGATAGGACTCTTGTTTTCTGCTCTCATAGCAAAAGTTTCCAAGAAGTATTTGCCAAATCCTAAGATAAGTGCCCACACATTTGTCACTGTTCCTAGAAACAGCTTTAATTTTTATTGTAAAAATATTGCTTCATATACAAAAGTAAAGAAAATAACTTTTCTCAGTCAAGTCATAACATTTCATTAGGAAATGAACTCCTGTATATCCATCAAGCCAATTCAATAATTACCACAATTTTGCCACATTTGCTTCAACTACCTTTTTCCTTTTATTCCCACATTGTATTATTTCTATTTTAATAATTCAGTATTCATCTATAAAAAATATATGAACTTCTTCTTCCATAATCACAATGCCATTTTCCCAACAAACAAAAATAGCAGTCAATATTTGATATTGTTTCTTTAAAGTTGATTTGTTTGAATCAGGATTGAAACAACACCCATATATTACATTTGGTTGTTACGTCTCTCTCATACCTTTTAATCCAGAGTGGTTCCACCCCCAGGTTTTATTCATGCCTTTGACTTAACACAAAAACCAGGTCTGTTTTCCCATAGAATGTCCTACATACTAGACTCACCTGTTTGTGGTGACATTTAACTTGTCCTTCTGTCCTTGTAATTTGTTTTTTAAAATGAAATCTGCTTCAACAAAAATACTTACTTGTTATGGAGCTGTCCAAATATTCCAAAATAGTTCACATTATTTGTAATATATTTTAACTTTTCCCAAGTTATTTGTACATCCTCAAGGAGCCATTATTGTTTCTCTTTCAATCTTACCTATTTTAGTATTTGTTCAGGAAGAGGTGAGACTGATCCTTCAGAATGAACACATCATGGTCAAGCTAAAAGTCTAGGAGAGATGGAAACAGGAAAATAGGTAGGTGCTGACAGACTGCAATGGAGCAGATGTGAAAACTCAAACAGGGGCTATGGAGTCAGACAGTGCTGAGTCCTCTTTCTGTCTTTGACACTTACTAACTGTGATCCCAGACAAAGTACCTAACCTGTTTGAGCACCAGTTCCCTTATCTCTAAACTACAAGTAGGGGTAATCCTACCTACAGTACAAGATCAGTGTGAGGATTAAGTGAAATAAGACATGTGATGTGCTTGTATGTTGCCCAGCATATAAAAACTAGTGTTTTTAAGGTATAGGAAACTTAAATGAGATTAAAAACTGGAGCATATCATGGACTAGTCTACTCTATTTCTGGTGCCTTCCCCTTGATCTGCTAAAACATTCCAAAGATGCAGCTATTTTCATTACAAAATGTCCTATATTACCCCACATCAGAAGTTTATATTACCAAGACAAGCCAGACTGGAATAAAATATTCACAGAAGAAATATCTGATAAAGGACTGTTATTAAAAATATACAGAAAAAGAACTCTTGAATGCACCAATAAGAAAATGAACAACAAAATTAAAAATGAGCAAAAGACCTGAATAGACACCTTGCAAAGATATATACATGGCAAATAAGCATATGAAGAGGTGCCCAACATAACATTTCATTAGGAAATTGAAAATTAAAACAATGAAATTCTACCACATACCTCTTAGGATGATGAAAAATCCAAACTGACAGCAGCAAATGCTGGTGAAAACATGGAGCAACATTTTCATTCATTGCTGGAGGGAGCACATAATAGTGCATCAACTTGGGGAGACAGTTTTGCAATTTCTTACAAAACTGAACATACTCTTACCATAATATCTATCAACTAGGCTTTTGGTATTAATCCAAATGAGCTGAAAACTTAGGTCCACAAAACTTAGGTCCACACAAAACCTTCACTTAAATATTTATAGCTGCTTTATTCATTATTGACAAAACATGGAAGCAAACAGGATGTTCTTCAGTAAGTGAATGGCTAAATAACCTTTAGTATGCTCAGATACTGGAATATATTCAGGACTAAAAAGAAATTAGTGATCAAGCCATGAAAAGATATAGATAAACCTTAAACACCTGTTACTAAGTGAAAAAAGGCAATCTGAAGAGACTACATACTGCCTGATTCTGAATACATGGCATTCTGTGAAGGATAAAACTGTGAAGACAGTGAAAAGATCAGTGGTTGCCAGGAGTTAGGAGAGGGGGAAGGAGAAGAAGGTGGAGCATAGAGGATTTTAAGGTAGTGAAATTATTCTGTGTGATACTGTAATGGTGGATACATGTTGCTTGCCAGTGGGTTTCAGCCTCAGGCAAGTTCACTCTTGATTCGGTGAGACTGAAAACTGACAATGGAACTTTCTTGGGTGAAAGGGTTTATACCCAACTTTATTGTCATGGTGGCAAGTCAAGCGCTAAGATTCTGTCCACTCAGAGCGAATCTGCATGCCGCAAGCTGGTCTCTGTCTCTGGGCCTCTCTACCCCTTCAGCTGTCTCAGTCTCTGTCCTTGGCGCTGCCACCACTCCAACCTCTGCTCTCCTGCAGGCTTGCAGCCCAGAACACTGGGCAGAGCTCTTTTATAGAGTCAATAAAAGGTATTGCCTACATGTGTCCAGTGAGCAAGCCGACCAAGGTCAGTTGAGAATCCTGGCCATAGGAACTTTTATTTTCTCTACATTTGTCAAAACCCATAGCATGCATAATATAAAGAGGGAACCCTAATGTAACCTATAGACCTTTGATGATGATGTCGCAATGTAGGTTCATCAGTCATAACAAATGTACCCCCCTGGTGTGGCATATTGCTAGTGAGGGATGCTGTGCTTGTGTGGGGACAGGGGACATACAAGAAATCTTTGTACTTTCCACTCAATTTCACTTTGAACCTAGAACTGTTCTAAAAAATAAAGTAAAAAAACTGTTTGTTGTCATCATTGCCTCCTGACAATTTCAACAGTTTATACACTAATAATTTTTCTTCCTATTTTTAAATTCTTTCAATTTATTACCATTTGGCAACTATTTACTTGTGTGTGTATGTGTGTGTTTTCTTATTATTGCATCCTTCTTCTAGACTATACACTCCATGAGAACAGAGACTTCTGCCTAACTGTGAATAGTGCCTGACTCATACTAAGTAAGTGTTTATGAATATTGTTAATAAATAAATTGTCCTTGTTTCTTTTAGCTAAGGTAAATAGTTTTTAAAATATCACAGGAAGATCTTTGATATGGTTAGACTTTGATTAATTTAATGATCTAGTTGCCCAAAATATGTTTCCTATCTAGAACTGTGCATGAAAACATTATTTATCCAAAATAATTTATCCATTATTTATCCAACATTATTTATCCAAAATTCAATGCTTATTACTGAGTGTCATAATCCAACTTGGGACAGTGACTCAAGGGTTCCTCCTAAGGGTTTCTTTCTATAAATATACACTCTAAATAACTCACACCAAGCTTTTAAAGACTGTATCTTTTCCGCTTGGCAAGAAGGACCTAAGTAATTTAAAAAAAGTGATTTGAGTGAAGGAAAAACTATAACAAAAGTGGCAAGAAAGAATGGGGGAAAAAAATCACTATTTTAAATTTTTTCCTGGTGTTCTCTCTCTTACACAATGCCAGATGGACAGATTTAGGAAAAGACACTGAAAATCTGGACAGTACAAAACCAATGAGAAGCTGTTCTGCTTTTAAAGATTTCCACAGATGTCACTTCCATGTCTCCTCAGTTAGATATTTTCTTTTTTTTAATTCTGATCATAATTTTCCATCAAATGTATGAAACAGCCACCTTTCCCTAAATCTCAAATCACTTGTCTTCTGAGCAGCAAACTTTATTGTGAGCTCATAATGAATTTGAATAATGTCAAGCTACATAAAACCATTTCCAAAAGAAACCTGGAAATAGAGGAGTGATCAGTTTTTCTGGTTCATATTCAGCAAGCGAGGGTTTTCCAAATGGGTAATGGAATGGACTTTTCACCTGCATATTTGGTTTTAACTCAGCTCTTTATTCAGCTACCAGGAAAATAATTTTATAAGCTTTTACAGGAATTTAAGGATTTGTTCCATGCTCAATGACTTTTCATCATATTTTTAAAGTATCTGGGAATTAAGAACTGGATGCCTACAGATTAGCTTTTCTCAAACAATATTCAAGACAGATCTTTGACTTGATTTTCTCCTGTACCTTGACTGTTAAACAATTTCTGATGCTAACTCTCAATACACAAAACAAAATTAGCAGCAAGTGTGCAATCAGAGGAAAATGAAACAAAATTGCTTCCAGCAGCACCTTCAGATGAATGCTTCTCAACCTAATGAACTTTTTTATCCACCTGGAGAATTTTGGCATACACCATAATATTCAGAATTTACTTGGATCTGGGGATAGTGTGGCCACAAAATTACTTTTGTGTTGCTGTAATCCAAATGAAATAGCTATTAACCTTAAATTATTATAGAAAAAATCTTACTGTGATTATGAAAATAACTACTAAAATCCCACATTCTCAGACATTTACTATTATGACAGATTTTCTAAATTATATTTAGTTTATATGTAATTCACATACAGTAGAAAAATTATGAAGTTTAGGGTGGAGAAAACTTATTTTAAGTTCCAGACCCAATTCCTACTAGTATGGCCAAGTTATTTGACCTCTTTAAGCCTCAATTTCCTTATAAAATAGGAATATTAACACTACATCATAAAATCATTTTATCATTAAGATAAAGTACTACAAATGCCTCAAAAGCTTGTACCACATAATAGGTGCTCAATAATTAATGAGGGAGGTGGTAGCTATTGGGTACAAGTCAAGGGTTGTATTCATTGTGCAAACCATTGCTACTTCTTCCAAGATTTGTATAAACTGACTATAAAATGGTGCTACAGGTCTAGATATGGCCACCATAATGGTGGGACATCCTGAGTCACTATATTAAGACCTGACTCAATGTCTTCTTGAGGATCTGGATGAAGTCACTTCATCATGTCAACATGAAATTGACCTTTATCAGCTTTGCTCCAATTCATCCCAACTGATGGACAAGAAAAAAATAACTGCTTACTACTGAGTGTCATAATTCAACTTGGGACAGTGACTCAATGAAAGTCAGGTGATCCACAGTTTCATTTAACTTTGTATATTTATTCTAAGAAATTCAAAGCTCTATACCTTATGCCTTTGGTTCTGATGATTAGCTGAATAAATAATCTTAAAATATTACATCCCCAGCCCCTTGGAGGTAGGCTGAACTTATTTGCTTCCAAAGAATAAAATACAAAAAAGAAGGGAAAGTACTAGGAAAACACTGCCTCTGGCAGGTGATCAGTGCTAACCTCTACAGCAATAAGTCGTGTTGATAGCATGTGCCACCTGATCTAATCTGATGAGAAAGGCACTTCAGTTCTGTTATTCCCCCAAAATCACAATACCAGTCTAAGCATGAAAAAAATACTAAACAAACCAAAATTAAGGCACATTCTACAAAATCCTTGACTAGTATCTGACAAAATGTGAAGGTCATGAAAATTCAGGAGATTGCACATCCTACAGGAGACGAGAGGGACAACTAGTGAATTGCCCATATTCACACTGTTAATAGGAGGAGTATCTAACTGAAGAGCCCTAACAAGTAGGCGCTGTATTACACGGTCCTCCTGTAAGCCAAGAAGGGTTAAAGGCCCCTTGCTCTCATGGATGAGAATGATTTCTAGCAGCAATGTTAAGAAGAAAAAAGAAAAGAAAAATTAAACAAAGCCAAGAAGGCAATGACAAACCTTAGTAAATAATTCACTCACTTTTTAAAGATGTGTAATTTACATTCTGTGAATTACCTAAGCCATGGAAATATCTGGCCTTATCAATACCTCTGTGCTGTTTTTGATTGCTGTTCTTCTAAAAAAAAAGTAAAGTTGTTTAAAACAATCTAAAAGCCACAAAGAAAATCTGTTTCAATTTTGTGGCCTGTGTCAGTTTAATCTTGGTAATTTAAATGGCAAGCCTCAATTAGAACTCAGAGTTCTGGACTTCTTGTTCACTACTCCCACCCTTGGGAATTTCCAATATTCATAAGACAGACCAGGACTGGGAAACAGCAAACAGTAGTGCAAGCATAACTAAAGAATATGCATGCATTTTGGAAGCCTTATCAAAAGAGGAGAATGTTCTTTTCTTTCACCAACTTAGGGGAATCTAGCAAACTGTCTGCCAACTTACATGTTTTCACCAAAATTATTTCCTGCCATTGGATTTAACAGCATCTCTCATCAATGAAACTGCTGGGCATGCTTACAAGGTTGTGAAATCAAGACACACCCCTGTTGCTAAAGTTCACAATCAAAAGAACAAATATAAATACCAAGTTTCATCACATGGGACTGGCAAACTCAGGGAAGACCTAAGACTTACCCATTATGAAACCTAAATGAAGGGTTTGTTTCAGTGGAAGAAGAGATGGCAAAGGGATGGTTATTGTTATTTGAGCATCAAAGATCTGGGGCCATTAAAAACATAGATTTCTTCTCTGTATGATAACTATTGTTAGCCACTTGGGTTCATTCTTTTGCAAAGTGCATTCTGTCTTTGGGAAGAAAAACACAGAATTCTTCAGTTTGCTCAATGAGTCACAGCACATGCATAGGAGAGCCCATAATCATGTTATCATTACAGATAATACAGAGCTTTGGAAATAACGAGTTTCCTGACACAGCTCTGTGAAAGTGACACTCAGTTTCGCTATGTCATGTTCGCATATCCAAAATGACCTGGCCAAGTCATTTCCCATGCTGTGTTTCTGTCCCTTTCAAAATACAGGAAGTACCACTGTTAGAGAAAGAGTGACTCTTCAATCCCCTTAGTAAGTTTAAGAGGTAACAACTCTGCTGGCAGCAATGAGTTCTTCACTGTGGTCGTCACATCAGCTTAAAAGTGGAATCCATGCAGACTGAATGACCTGTTTCATTACTGCATCCAAATGACAGTGTTTGCAAAGTTCTTCACGGAACTTACCTTACAATAAAAATCCAACAAATTTTGGCTATTATTTGATTATTGTTAGTTTTTCATGGTCCCTGCTCTTACATTAACACTCGAAAGAATTCATGAAATCATACAGGCAATTAGATCTTCAGAAGTTAATAATAAAGGGAGAAAAGAATCTAAGCCGATTTCACAACCTCTCTTCCTGACTCCTTTTAGAATTTAACATCCCTATTAGGAAATTCCTCAATTATTCTAACCTAGCTACCTCATACTGCAAAGTTTATTTTCTCATGTTCTGGCTTCAGTGGAGATAGAGAACAGATGGTCACTATCCCTTGCATAATAATAATTTTTTCAATGTTTTATGGCTTCAGAGACTTAGTAAATCTTTCTTTATTTTCTTCAACAAATAAGTCTTGTTCATTGAACACCATCAGTAGCACTATGTTTGCATACAGTAGATGAGTGTTAAATATCACAGAAAAATATATCCATTGTTAGTAGTGTGCACAGCCTCAAATCTAACTATTTGAGCAGGTATCTTTACACATTGTATGTCAGCAGGGTAACAAGTGATTTCTTTGAAGACGTCTTTGAAGAAACTTCTAGGAACTAAATACAAAATGAAATTGATTAAGAAAATTCTTAAGTAACCACAGTAGAATAACTTCTGCAAAAAAAAATGAAAATCATTGGGACATGTTTTACCAAATTTTTAAATTCCGGTTCAATTTGAGAGGAATTTGCATAGTTTTGGATTAATTTATCTAGGCTAACATAAACTTCAGAACAAATTATAGAGGTTAATATTCATGAAACAAAGCAAAATTCTGCATAAAAAAATGACATGCACAAAAATGAACTCATGGGACTACATCAAACTAAAAAGGCTTGTACGGCAAAGGACATCATCAACAAAACAAAAAGGCATCCTACAGTATGGGAGAATATATTTGGAAATGACATATCCAACAAGGGGTTAACATGCAAAATATATAAAGAACTTACACACCTCAACACCCAAAATGCAAATAACCCGATTAACAAATGGGCAGAGGATACAAAGAGACAGTTCTCCAAAGAAGAAATTCAGATGGCCAACAGACACATGAAAAGATGCTCTACATCAGTAATCACCAGGGAAATGCAAATTAAAACCACAATGAGATACCACCTCACACCAGTTAAGATGACCAGAATCAAAAAGTCTAAGAACAACAAATGCTGGTGAGGATGCAGAGAAAGGGGAATCCTCCTACACTGCTGGTGGGAATGTAAGCTAGTTCAGCCATTGTGGAAAGCAATATGGAGGTTCCTCAAAAAACTAAAAATAGAAATAACATTTGACCCCAGAATCCCACTCCTTGGAATATACCCAAAGAATACAACTTCTCAGATTCAAAAAGAGATATGCTCATCGCAGCACTTTTTGCAATAGCCAAGAAATGGAAGCAACCTAAGTGTCCATCAGTAGATGAATGGATAAAGAAGATGTGGTACATATATACAATGGAATACTATTCAACCATAAGAAAGAAACAAATCCTACTATTTGCAACAACATGGATGTAGCTGGAGGATATTATGCTCAGTGAAATAAGCCAGGTGGAGAAAGACAAATGCCAAATGATTTCCCTTATTTGTGGAGTTTAACAACGAAACAAAACTGAAGGAACAAAACAGCAGCAGACTCACAGACTGCAAGAAGGAACCAGTGGTTACCAAAGGGGAGGGGTGTGGGAGGGCGGGTGGGGAGGAGGGAGAAGGGGACTGAGAGGTATTATGTTTAGTACACATGGTGTGGGGGATCACGGGGAGAACAGTGTATCACAGAGAAGGGACATAGTGGATCTCTGGCAACTTGCTGAACTGATGGACAGTGTCTGCATTGGGATATGGGTGGGGACTTGATAATATGGGTAAATGGAGTAACCACATTGTTTTTTCATGTGAAACATTCATAAGAGTGTATATCAATCATACATTCATAAAAAAGTAAATAAAATAACATGCACGATGAAAGAAGTTTTGATAAGACTGAAGAGAAAAACAGACATCTTAGCTGACAAGACTTGAAAATACATACAGGATGAAGTAGATAAAAAGAGAATTTTTATTTAAAAAGTATGTCAAAGACATGGACAGTTAGTGCATTTTTGCATATATTTTAGGAGTGAAAGAAAGATTTCTTGCATCAAAATGACAGTTCGTTTCTCTATATCTTCCAGGATTGAATGTGTCCTTTCAGTTGTCATTTTATGTTTCTTTTTCAGCATTTTTTGTTTTTTTTCCCACTAAATTTGTTGTTGAGAGCCTCTCTTTTTTTCTCTCTCTTAAACATTTCCAGCAACTTTTGAGTTTTAAAAACTATTCTATTGCTAAAATCAAACTCTATCACTGTAAATCAATCCCTTATACTTAAAATTGATCCGAATTAAATGTCAAAGGTATGAAGAGCTTTTTGTCTCCCTTGGGGTCTAGGATAAAGTATCGATGCTTTACAAGTCTGAACTCTGATCCATTTTCACAAGAGGTGGGCAAAACCAATACACAGAACTGAATATCACATATTTTCCTGACTTACTTTTCTACCAATTTATATTCACCCAAATCTAACATGCTTTTTCCTAGGAAATATTCTCTTAGTTTTTAGACTATGCATTTCCAGGATAATTTAATCCACTTGCATGATTCTGTTAAGGATCATCTTACAAAGTAACTTAAAAATCAAACTTAATTCATTTAAATGGAAGTTAAATTCATTTCTAAAAATATATCTATCTTCTCTCATTTAAAGTCAGATATGTCTATTTGATAAATATGAGAGATTTATTAAGAACTTATAGCCAACATATCCATGTTTTTGCTAACGGAATATGCCAACTTTTTTCTAATTCCTGCATATTTTGTGCTTTGAGTTGTCATATAACCGTACTATGTAAAAGTAGAGCCTCCATTCAACAGTAGAAATAAGTAAACTATGTATATGTCAAAATCTTATGTTATTTTAGATTAATAATTAAAAATAAACTCTGAAGAAGTTTCCTCTTAAATTCCATATTCTATTATACCATTCTTTTGAATGTTTTCATGACACATAATACTCTAACATAAAACCCGCGGTTATAATTTTTAAAGTAACCTTGTAAAATTTGTTGTTTAACCTCCTTCTCCCCTGGAAGAACCCAAATTCTATGAGTGTGGGAACCATGTCATTTTCATTGACAAGTACATTGCTACATAAAATAGGCACTCAAATATTTATTGTATGAAAGAATTATTTTATGAAATTCAAGTCTCTGGTATTCAATTAAAATTGGGAATAATCTCTTATGGCTCCAAGAAATGGCCTTCAGAAAATTTCATTAATGGCACTAGAAACAAAATCCTTTGAACCATTAATACTATTTCAGCTATATTACTGAACATGATATCAGTAAAGACAGAGAAATTAAAGATACTTTTTTCTGGTTCATTAAACACCTCTATACATGACAGAAACTGTACTGATAGTCTTTTTTACTTTAAACAATTAAAAAATGATTGGACAAAGATTGGACAAGATTAAGAAGAAATACCAATTAAATGTAGTACTGATTTTTTTTTAAATGTATTAGTGGAATAACTGGTAAAGTTCTAACAGAATCTATAATTTGGTTAACAGTATTGTCTCCATGTTAATTTCCTAGTTCTAATAATTGTATTATGGTTATGTAAAGGTCACCTAATGTTATGGGGATCAATTGAGGAATATATGATAACTATCTTATTTTTACAACTTTTCCATAGTGTTAACTTAATTCAAAATAAAAAGTAAAAAAAAAGAAAAGCTTGGGTGACAGTTATGTCATAGAATAGAGTTACTCCATTAATCATCTGACTATAAAATGATTTTGTGGTGCTAATC